GAACCCCTGAACCCCTAAACCCCTAAACCCCTAAACCCCTAAACCCCTAAATCCCTAAACCCCTAAACCCCTAAACCCCTAGAGCCCTAAACCCCTAAACCCCTAAACCCCCTAAACCCCTAAACCCCTAAACCCCTAGACCCCTAGACCCCTAGACCCCTAAACCCCTAAACCCTAAACCCTAAACCCGAAACCCTAACCCTAAACCCTAAAGCAATGTGGGCCGAGGCTGCGTCAGCCGGGTTCCCAACAATCTCAAGGCACTCCTGGTGGAACCCGGCAAGATTCGGTGACTTGGCCACTTGTTTAGGGTTTAGGGTTTAGGGTTTAGGATTTAGGGTTTAGCATTTAGGATTTAGGGTTTAGGGCTGAGGGCTTAGGAGGATAAACCCTAAGCCCTTGAAACCCTGGTTGCTGTCTCAGGTGTTTAGGGGTCCTTGTATATGGGTCGTGAACCCACGTACGCAATGGCCTAAGGCCACCGGAAGTTGACCACCGAAACTCCTAAACCCTAAATCCGAAACAATACCTAAGACCGCGCGAAGTCCTGAGCCCAATACCATCTACAAAGTCACCTGGGCCGGGGGTGGTGGTCTATACCGTGGGTGGTCCTGTGATCATTTGGGTGGGTTTGGGGTTCGACTCTCACAGGTGCGTGCGCGCAGCTTTTGTTCTCAACCCGAGGGTTTAGGGTTTAGGGCTTAGGGATTAGGCTTTAGGCTTGAAGGTTTAGGGTTTGGGGGTCTCCTAAATCTATTTGGTCCTTGAACTTGCTTTCCAGCGTGGCGGTGGTAAACGCCCTGGGCAGGCGTTTTGAAACCCCCGCGATCTGCCGTCGCAGAGAGATCATGGACCCCAGAGTAAAAGGGAATGATTCTGACTCGTTGTTGAGGGCCTGTTCTAGTGCTGTGTACACGGAGGTTTAGAGTAGAAGGGTCTGGGGGTTTGGGATACTGTGTTTCAAGCGGCTGCTCTTAAAGAGCCGACAGAAAATATACGCCTGGCCCTTTCCAGAATACTCCCCTGCCGCATCAAAACCCCAAACCTTAAACTACTATTTGCTTAAGAACCCCCCAAAAAAAAGAACAAGTAAACAAACAAGTAGATAAAATGTATAGATATATAACAAAAAGCCTACACTTTATAAGGAAGAATACTTTTATTTTGGGGGGGTTCTAGACCCAGGAGTAACCTAGGAATAAAAAAGGGTGCCCTTTTTGGTTTAAAGGGGTTCATAAGGGAACCCAAACCCTAAACCCTAAACCCTAAGCCCTAAGCCCTAAGCCCTAAGCCCTAAGCCCTAAGCCCTAAGCCCTAAGCCCTAAGCCCTAAGCCCTAAGCCCTAAACCCTAAACCCTAAACCTAAACCCTCCTAGGCAGTACGCCCTGTACGGCGAAGTCAGAAGCAGGCTCGGGGCCCAAGCACGCCGACGCTCACATATGCGAGCTGCCTCTTGCGCTTGGGAACCTCGGGTTTAGGGTTTAGGGTTTAGGGTGTAGGGTTTAGGGTTTAGGGTTTAGGGCGGATGAACCCCAAGGAACCCCTTCGAAACCCTGAGCCCTGCACCTAAACCCTAGTCAAACCGCACCATCGAAACCCTGAGCCCTGCACCTAAACCCTAGTCAAACCGCACCATGATCCAAAACAGATTGTGAGAGGCAGCTTGCCGAGAACCTCTGGCCAGGTAGAGCGTTCAGGGCTTGGACTTCTACAGGGCTTACCGTGCTCGTAGCCCAGGAAACTTATTGTAGTAAGGGTGCCCTTGTTTGGGTTGGTTGCTTTACAAGGCCACCTTGAACTCCGAAAAAGGGTTCAGGGTTTAGGGTTTAGGGTAGCCCTGTGCGGCCCGGGAGGGTTGTGGAAGTGTACGGGTGACCGGATGTGGAAGCACACTGGGGGCGGGGGGGGCAGGTAGCCCAGTAACCTCTTGTTTCGTTAAAAAGGGGAACTTGGGATGTTCCCCCTGATACAAACAGCCCTTCAATCGGGATTATAACGGGGGGCTACTAGAATCCCTATTAAGGACTGTTACTATAAAGGGGGAACATCCAGAAAGGGCACCTTGAACCAAGAAAAGGGGCCAAAGGGTACCACGCGGCGAACAAGGTATCGAATCGGTCTTTGACTTCGTGGAAGGTTCGCTCGCCGAAAGGAAGTGCACGGTTCAGGGTTTAGGGTTTAGGGTTTTGAGGCCCCGGGTTGAGGCCCAATTAACGCTCCTGCTGCAGCTCAAGGTTTAGGGTTTAGGGTTTCGGGTTTGGGGTTTGGGGTTTGGGGTTTGGGGCTTGGGGTTTGGGGGTTGCGAAGCTCAGGCGCCGAACCTTGAATCCCCAAATCGCTGGGAGAAGGAAACCCTGAACCAAAAACCCTCAACCTTCAACCCACCCCCCAAGCCGAAAATCCTACATCCTCACCCGGACCCTAAACCTTCAACCCCGAACCCTGAACCAAAAACCCTCAGCCCTCAACCCCAAACTCCAAAACTTCCAACCTTCAACCCTCAACCCAAACCCTAGACCAAAACCCTCAACCCTTAACCCCAAACCCTCAACCCCAAACCCTGAACCCTTAAACCCCAAAGCCTCCCCAGTTGTGCGCGTCAAGCATCATCCTGCCACTTAAAGCGCCGCCAGGTGCGCGCAACATTCATGGAGGGCTCGACCTCGGGGCCACAAACAAGTTTAGAGGTTTGGGGTTTGACTGGTGCTCAGGGTTTATAGGGTTAGGGTTGAGGGTTTAGGGTTTAGGGTTTAGGGTTTAGGGTTTAGGGAGGGTTTAGGGTTTAGGGTTAGGTTTAGGGTTTAGGGTTTAGGGTTTAGGGTTTAGGGTTTAGGCTTTAGGGTTTAGGGTTTAGAGTTTAGGGTTTAGGGTATAGGGTATCGGGTTTAGGGTTCAGCGTTTAGGGTAGCCTACTGGTGGGTCCTGATGTATAGTCCCTGTCAGCTTTCGGGTACTCGTGATGCCAGAGTAGTCGCTCAGACCTGCCTACCCCAAGCCCCATTACAGGCCCCGAGCCCCCTCAAAAGCCAGTGCCAAAGACCTGCGCTGTTAAAGGCCCTAAATTCCCATGAACACCCTAACCCTATCAACCCAAACTCTTTCAAAAGCGCTGGTGCGTCAAACGAGTGCGTCTGCCTGTTTGAGAGGAGCCTTAAACCACCAATTGCTTAAGCACCCCAAAACAATAAAACAAACAATCTTCCTTGTAAGGGCAATCTAGGGATTGTTTTGTTCTGTTTTTTGGGAGTTCTGAAGCAAATAGTACTTAAACCACATGAACAAAAAGGGTCTACCTCTCTGGGGTGTAGCATGTAAGGCTAGGTTCGGGGACCTTCCCGACCCCAGGGTTTCAAAAGAGCACATCCAACAACAGATGTGGGTTGAGGGGGCCCGAATTCCTGGAATCCTTCTTTCAACCTTGTCTTATTTCCTAAACCCTACAAACCCTATAATCCTATAAACCCTAGAAACCCTAAAGACCCCAAACACTCTATAAACCCTTGAAGCCTTTTTAGCCCCATAAACCTTAAAGCAAAGAAGAGTTCAGGGCTTTGGGAAGGGTCCGGTTTCTTTTCGTGCTTTTCATGGTCTTTGGTTTAGGGTTTAGGGCGTAGGGTTTAGGGCTTTATTCTCAGTCACCTACAAGCGTAAAAAAAAACACGAAAAAACACCAATAAAAACACGAAAACAGAACCATCAGCCTTTGGGAAGCCTCGAGACCCTCAAGGGCCCTGAAAGCGTCGTTCTCGAAGATCTGGGGCGCCGTGCGCAGCGTTTTCCAAAACCCGCGGAGCCAGCGCTGGGTCCACCACCGAAGAATTCGCAGAGGACCCAAAACCCCGTAAGGTACGAGTACCGTAAATCATCCGACGGACTCGAATGGCTGCAGTTCTGGTTGATCTTGCCAGTTTGAGGGTCTTCCGGGTTTTGGGAGCAGCTTTACCAGTCATGTGGGAGAAACTGCTTAAGCCATGGGTTATCTAGGGGTTTAGGCTTTAGGGTTCAGGTTCAGGGTTAGGGCGGGACATGGGCTGGACTGGTGCTGGACCAGAGAGGGGTCGGAACAAATACTCATAGCATTTCCTTGTGGTCCCTATGTAACCTTACAGTGAGCCCCGCAAAAAACCCTACTCTACTTATTAAGGCCCCTGTGTTGCCTGAAAATCTGTTGTTCTCATTACTGCCATGTTTACTTTTATTTACTACGGCGATAAGGAGAATGACTATAAACATCCAACATTCTTAGACTATTGACTCTTTGCTTTGCTGCTTTTGCTATAGCGATTCCTTTTTCATGCCTTTGCTCTCTGAGGCTGAAAGCTGCACCGAAGCGAGCGATCATGCCAGAACCCTCAAGGCTTCGATCAGAAGGTAAGGTGGGGCTGAGTTTAGAGTTTAGAGTGCAGGGTAACCCTAAACCCTAAACCCTGAACTCTAAACCCTAAACCCTAACCCAAAAAAGCCCAAGCGCTTGTGAAAAAGCTCGAAAGCCTGAGAGGGTCTTCGGGTTTTGGGCTTTGGGTTCAGGGAATTCGAGCATCCAAGGTTGAGAGTTTCTGGAGTGTAGGGTTTAGGGTTTAGGGTTTAGGGTTTAGGGTTTAGGGTTTAGGGTTTAGGGTTTAGGGTTTAGGGTTTAGGGTTTAGGGTTTAGGGTTTAGGGTGTGGGCCACCCACAACCTTTTTTTGCCTCGCAGGCATCCCACAAAACTGTAGGACCCAACGTAGAAGGGAATCTTTGGGGGTGTTCGCCCTTTTAGGAGAGGCTTGGGGGACCCCTCTGATAGGTCCCTAAGCTTGCCCCAGGACACTTGCCTGGCTTCGCTCGCTACTTGGCATTCCAATGCCCCCAGAGGACATACATCTGCAACAGCAACAACGATCGACCTCATCCGGCACTACACCCTAAAACCGGCCCCAAATCCGGCACCAAACCCATCCTAATCCCAAAATCCTCCAAAGCCCCAAAAACCTCAACTGCACATGGAATCTTTTGAGCCACGCCACCAGCTTCCGTCGTCTCGCCTGCACTTGCTGCCTTCCGGCTGCACACGTAGAGCTGGCCTCGTAATTCCAGCGGACTTGGCGAAGGCGGTTTAGGAATTGGAGCTTAGTGGTTGAAGGCTCCAAAAGCAGTCCCTTGTGGAATGTGCGTTGTTTTTCTTTGGTACTAGGGGGTATAGCAGAATGCGCCACGTTTGAAAGGACTACCCTAAACCCTATACCCCCAACCCCCCCCCCCCCCACCCAACCTTTAGAGCCTTGAGGGTCTTCGAGTGTTCGACAGGCATCGTTTCCCGCCCGGCCACCTCATGAACCTCATGATTCCAGATGTTCACCTCTCCAGCTAAAGCCCCGTTCTACCACGGCACCTTTTCTACAAAATTATGGTCAGAAGTGTCTAAACCCTAAACGTTAAATCCTAAACCCTAAACCCTAAAGTCCGCCCAGAGAAGGGACCAAAACTGATTATGGCGGTACTTCTAACCCACTTACAAGCCCCTCAAGTGCCCTAACATGGTTATAATTGGCTTCATACGTACAGTTATTCATTGGGTTAACTAATAAGTAACCTAACCCCTAACCCCTTACCCCTAAACCCTCAACCCATAGTTATAATAAGTACCCTGAACCTTAAAAGTAGTGGCTTGCAAGAGAAAGAAACCCGTGGTGTCCCCGCAACCGTTTAGGGTTTAGGGGGTTTATGGTTTAGGGGTTTAGGGGTTTTAGGGTTAAGGGTTTTGGGGCTTCAGGGTGTTAGGGCTTCAGGGTTCGGGGCTTAAGGTTTACCAAGCCGAATCATCCGCAACACCTTTCAGCACTGCTGCCAGTGAGCACGGCCCCTCGCCAAGGGCTCTCTGCACAAAGGAGAAGTGCGGCAGCAACTCCTGTTTAGGTCCCTGAGTTACAATTGGGCTACTATGTACCATGAACCTCCAAGAAGGGCTGGCTCAGGGAACCCTACTGAAAAATGATACTATACCCACACTGATGCGTTTTGCCTTTCAGGTATCCGTTTTGGGAAGACAAATGCTGCGTTCTGATTTCTATGGTGGTCTGTTTTACTTACAGAAAGGGAACCCAGAACCAAACCGAAAGGGTTGAGGGTTTAGGGTTTTGGGGTACCATTGGGCTACCAAGTAGCAATGACTGGCCTCCAATCCGGTATTGTGTTGCGTCAGAATGTGTGAACAAATCCCTCCCTCCCCCCCCCCGGGCAACCTCCTTCAAGAACTGCTGGTCCTGATTGCAGAGCAGAGAACTGAGGTTTTAGGGCTTCCGGGTTTAGGAATTCAAGTTCTAAGGCTTAAAGGAGTCTTTTGGGCCAACCCATATAAATGCATTTTCGTGAGGCCTCTTTTTTTGAAAAAATGGTGCGGCGCCATGAGCATGAGATCTTCTGCGCCGCGGTTGGCAAAAGGGGCATCAAAAAAGGTGTTACAGGCTGCTGGGAACCAACAGGTGCGTGCCACGTCTGTAGTCCCCGTGGTTGTGAGGGTATCTTATATCCTTCTACATATACCTGGGGATGTTGCCGCTTCTACTCAGAGTCCTTAGTAAGCATTCTACTACCGCCTATTCTAACCCCCATGAAAAACGGTTCGTATAAGGGGGAACATGCCAACTTATCCCCTTTGAGGGAGTATGTAGGGTGCCCCATTCCCTCAGTCCGTACGAAGACCCATCAGAGAAGAAAAGTCAAGAATACGACAATCCTGAACCCTGAACCACTCAGAGCCCCAAACTACACCCCTCCCTGCAGAGCATAGTACCAACAAGCTGAATCCTAAACCCTATAAATCCTATAAACTCTATAAACCCTATAAACCGATAAACCCTATAAACCCTATAAAGCATGAACCCCAAGAAACCCACAGAAACCCAAGGAAGCCCCAAACAAAAATCCAAAAACCCTGTAACAGCCCTAAAACCCCCCAAAAACCCTAAACCACCTGAAAACCCTAAACCCCTAAGCCCCTAAACCCTAAACCCTAAACCCCGGGAACCCCGAACCCCTAAACCCCAAACCCCCCCAAAGGCCCTCAAAACCCTGCCCGCAACATGAGCCTAGGGCCTCGGCTGCTCGTGGCTGATAGGCCAACCTCATCGGAAGACCCAACTTCTGGTTCCACTAGGGTTTGGGGTTTAGAGTTTAGGGTTTAGGGTTTAGGGTTTAGGGGTTCAGCATCTCAAGCCCAAGCATTCACTGGTGAAGCTTCTTTACTCTGGCATCGAGTATGCACCCACGCACTCTTGGAATCCGAACATGAAGAAAAACGGCTCGCGTTAATGAACCCTAAGCCTTAAGCCCCATGGCCTGAACCCCAAAACCCTAACACCCCTAGAACCCTGAAACCATAGAAACCCTAAAGCCCCAAAACCCTTAAAACCCTCAAAACCCTACAGCACCAAAACCTTAAACCTTAAACCCCAAACCCCAAAGCCTAAACCCTAAACCCTGAACCCCGCGAAGCTTAGAGCCTACACCCTGAGGCCCGATATTTGCTGTCCTCTTTTGCCTTTTCTTGCTCTGCCGCCAGCTGTCCATCTCAACGGCCGGTGATTAACCCTGAACCCTAAACCCCATTAAACAAGAACCAGAGCGGGCGCCACGTTTTCCTCTGTAGGGCTCAGGGGAGCCCTAAACCCTAAACCCTAAACCCTAAACCCTAAACCCTAAGCCCTAAACCCTAAACCCTAAACCCTAAACCCTAAACCCTAACAGGGTCTAGGGTACCCGATATGTAGGGTGACGACCTGCTGATTGCAGGGCTTTGGGCCCGGGAGCGTAAGCTGCACACGCCCCCTGGCCCCCCGAGGGATGGCCCTTGTAGCCTGTGGAGCCGTGATCCGCCAAGAAGCCCTAGAGGCCATAGGGCTTAGGATTTAGGGTTTTAGGGTTTTAGGGTTTTAGGGTTTTAGGGTTTTAGGGTTTTAGGGTTTTAGGGTTTTAAGGTTTTAGGGTTTTAGGGTTTTAGGGTTTTAGGGTTTTAGGGTTTTAGGGTTTTAGGGTTTTAGGGTTTTAAAATTTAGGGTTTTAGGGTTTAGGGCTTAGGGCCCTAAAGCAGCTGATCAAGCTGAGTGAGGATATCCAGCGCGCCGACCCCACCGATCGATATGCTCCGCGAACGCAAGGCTGCTGGTACATCGCTGTCCTGATGGCTTTTTCCGACGTGGCTACAAACAGCAATGGACTTTTTTTTTTTAATAGCTATGTGGTCAAGGACAGCCGAGAAGATTCTATATAGCCAAAACGGTTGTTAAAGGCTACCTACCCAGTCCCTAAGTTGTATACTTTGAGGGTATGAGCTAGTTGGAAAATGCATCTACTCTTGGTGGAGGCGAGCATCATCCCAGTTGATGCGAACCAGGGTTGCCTTTGGGTGCTGTGTCAGCACCCTTTCGGCGTGCATGCGGATGGTCGGCACTGCCTTGCCGGCTCCGACTTCAACTATCACCTTGGCAGCCCAGTAACCATATCACAATAAGGGCTTCCTTTTTTGCAGGGGTTACTGTTTAAGGGAACCCGCAACCCCAAAAAGGGCAAAGTGTACCACTGGGCCACCAAGTCACTAGGTTCGCATCCTCAGGAATCTCTGCCAGCCATGCTTTGAAGGCTCTGTTTTGCTGGCTGATGACGTCATCGTTTACGCCCCAGTCACCGAACATCAGGACATTTGGTCTTGCGGGCTGTTTGTCTGAGCTCAAAGGCAAGGGCGAGGAGGGAAGAGCTCGTAAGAGATCAGGTCCCCCCCTCCGAGAAACTGACTTGGCAGCTATCGGACGCCCATCAACGGCCAAGGAGCATCCGTCGTCCTGCACGACCGCCTCCACGTCACCAGCAGAACATCGAACCAAAACAGTTTCACCAGGAGTGAGATCCCACTCTGGCACAGCGATGCTGGCAATCTGCTCTGGGTCCGTGCGCCAGATCCGGCCCGCGTCACCGTCGCCCGCAAGCCGGTCCTCAACGCGCTGCATCCGCGTGAGCGCACCGTGGCACTCGTAAATCCGCTTCTCCCCGATGCCCTCAGTTCGCTCCCAATGACCGTCAATGTTCGAGGTCACAGAGAAGCAGCCGTGCCTCACAGGACTGTGCTTCTCCGGCGGACCTACACTAAGGAGTCCCCCTTGCAGCCCTTAAACCCTAAACCCTAAACCCCGGGCACCTCATCTTCTGCCCCCACTTGGCAAGAAGCCGGTAGCCGTCGTGTGGGGCACCCAAGGTGTAAGCCTGGTGACGGAACTTCCAGAAAGCCCAGGCCAGCCTGTCTCCGGGTTTAGGGTTTAGGGTCCGGGGCTCATGGCGCTCGGAAGGTTTAAAGGCTTTAGGGTCAACCCTATAAGTCTAAAACCCTAAGCCCTAGATTCCCTAGATTGCTTGTAGGGTAGGGTTTAGGTAGTTTAGGGGTTTCCCGGCCGTGAGTTTGCAAGCCCCTACAACCCTTCTACGGCCTGGGGCTTTAAGTTGTCAAGCTTCGGTTTAGGACTTCAGCTGGTTGAGCCCATTTGGGGCCCTTTAAGGTTGCGGAGCTATTCAAGCTTTGTCGGTTTGGGCTTCGGATACCGCTCTCAACGCCTTGGTGTCTGAAAGCCCCAAGCCTGAATCAGAGGTTGGAACGTGGATCCCCTAAACCCTCCAAACCCTGAAGCCCTACAAATAAGAAACAATACAAGATGCTACAGAACTCTACAAGCCCTATAACAAATCCTTAACAAACACTACAAGTAAACCCATAACTCTGGAACCCCCAAAGTCCATGCTTCCCCCCTGGTTCTTAGCAGGGAATGAAGGCCCCAAGTACATAACCCTGAACCCTGAACCCTGAACCCTGAACCCTAAACCCTAAACCCTAAACCCTTATACCCTAAACCCTAAACCCTACCCTTTTCGGGATCCTTACGAAGAACCCGATAAGTTGCTTGCTACACCCCTCCGACCCATGGGCTCCTGGGGTCGTGGTCAAAATATCCCGGGCTGGACATCTCCTTAGCTGGCGCAAACTGGTGGGTTAGGGTTTAGGGTTTAGGGTTTAGGGTTTAGGGTTTAGGGTTTAGGGTTTAGGGTGTTTAGGGTTCGTAGGGTTCGTAGGGTTTAGGGGACAAACAGGCCCAGATCTGGTCTCCTTTATCTCTCAGGCGTTCCTGAACCTGGCCCTAGATGAGCCTTCAGGCCACCGGCCTTGCTCCCTAAACCCTAAACCCTAAACCCTAAACCCTAAGCTCCTTGAGCCAGGCCTCACTGAAGTCCATCTGCATGGCTTTCAAGGGCGGCCAGACCCCCGCGTTGCGGCCGCGGAAGGTCCCCAAACCAGAGTCGACGCCCATCCCAGCGCCGGTGCAGATTAACCTTACGAAGTTGGCTCGTTTAGGGTTTAGGGTTTAGGGTTTAGGGTTTAGGGCTTAGGGTTTAGGGTTTATTCTCTTACAAACGTGCTGAATGCTTCCGGATGGTCTTTTTTCGGCGGGAATCTGTGTAGGAATAACGAGCCCTATGATGGTTTAGGGTTTAAGGTGTATGAAGTAGCTCCCTGAATTCAGGACGTTGGTGTCTTTGGGAGGCATGATAAAAGTGAGGATGTGCTTTGCACTGGAAGCCCTACTAGAAATCCTAAAACTTCAACCTCGCAACAGCCCTAAACGCACATTTTGAAGCTCAATGCTGAACCCCTGAGTTATGTAACCCCCCAGGCCTCCCGAAACCCTAACCCTGAATCCTACGCAACCCCTAAACCTTCTATTGGTCGTCTCTTTAAGTAGGGTTTTCGTTTTGTAGGGGGTTCTGGTTTTCGTTTTGTAGGGGGTTCTTAGTAGGGTATCTCGGGGCTATACTAAGGTATCAGGGTAACAGATGAAGAGGCCTCCGACTTTTGTGACCCTAAACCATAAACCCTAAACCCCTAAACCCCTAAACCCGGAAAAAACACCCACACTTCAACTTAGGGACAAGGCATCAGCTGTGCCGAGGGCAGCCGCAGCGGCTCGGAGTTTCGTTGCCAAGGGCTCCATTGGCTCCATTTGGATGTAGGGTTTAGGGTTTAGGGTTTAGGGTTTAGGGTTTAGGGTTTAGGGGTTAGGGTTTAGGGTTTAGGGTTTAGGGTTTAGGGTTTAGGGTTTAGGGTTTCGGGATTTAGGGCTTGAAGTACTGTTTGCCCTGTGAAGCCCTCTGAGGCCTTTAGGGTTTGGGTTGGTGACGGCAGCTCACAGTACCCTGATGCCTCTGTAGAGTGTTTTTGGCATTGGGCTGCGCGCGCGAATGACCCACGCGGTGGGCTGGCTCCCCTGAAGTCCTATTTGACTCAGAACCACCCCTAAAAAGAAAAGAACGTATTTTTTCTGGAAGATTTTTTGTCGGGCCGGGGCGGGGGGGGAGGTTATCACCCTAAGCCCTAAACCGTCAGGGCTTATATAAGGTTTGCCTCCCGCACGCCTGGTCCCTTGTTTTTGTCATGGATATGGAATACAATTGAATTAAATAAAAATATTTTGTAGAAAATATTATAATGAATTAAGATTAATAAGATTGCCATATAATCTTATAAAATTAGTAAGTTCTATTCAATCATTAAGGGACTTGAGCTCTCAGATACTACTGATTGCTTAAGAAGCCCCACAAAAAATCTTGCTATCATGTGTTTTCGGGGTTCTGAAGCAAATAATGGGTTGCCATACTCGGGCTTTGTGGGTAGTTCTCTATCATTAGGGTCCCTTCTTGGGGGTGTCCCCTTTTACAAGCCTGACACCCTAAACTCTAAACCCTACATTCCTCATTTCTCAATCCTTAACCCTAGGGGCCGTCCAGAGGAGTCGTGCTTCCAGCGCTGTTGGGCTTGCTGGGTCCACCAACTCTTCGATCAAGTGTCTGGCCTCACTCGACTGAGACAATCGGACCAGCAGTGGGCGCGGCACTATCTCGTCCATTGCGTCAGCGATTGACGACTGCCTCCAGCCATTTTGCTGCACCAGCAGCATTCCAGGGCTCTTCCACCCCCTTCTTGTTGCGAAGGATGACACAGGGTACTTACTTAGAAGTTAGGATTACGGGGCATCAGGGCCCCTAAGCCCGCAGTGCGGTAAGCCTCTATCAGACTCTATCACTCTATCCCTAAACCGGGTTTAGGGTTTACGGTTAGGGTTTAGGGTTTAGGGCTTAGGCGACCCCATCAAAAAACGCTGAACCCCTGAAAAGCTAGCCACTTTAACCGCAAAGGCCTACGATGGCCTACGCTCCATAACCCGGAGCCCTAAAATCCTACGTTACCACAGCCCCAAGCCCCACCCAAGCCCCAAAACCCTAAAGCCCCAAACCTTATGAAGCTTATGAACCCTGAACCCCTAAAAATCCCGTTTACGGATATCATATAGAGGAACCCCAAAAACTCGTCCGTTTCACCCACCTATTTTGGTAGTTTGGGAATGGACTTCAGGTTCCTTACCAAGAGCCCCGCCCCTTAAGCCTCAACCCTGAACCCGAAAACCCTAAACCCTAGGGTTTAGGGTTTAGGGTTTAGGGTTTAGGGTTTAGGGTTTAGGGCTAGCCCCAAACCCTAAACCCCGAAACCCCTTAACCCTCAGCCCTACAACCCTTCCTGACAAGGCCCGAGGTGCAGCAGGCGAGTGGATGATCCCGGCGGCAGGAGCTCGAAGAGGGTCTGGCCTGGGTTTCTTTGTGTTCTAGAAGATGAGTCATCATGCAACTCACGCAGGGTTTAGGGTTTGGGGTGTAGGGGTCAGGGTCGAGGGTTTGGGTTGAGGGTTTAGGGTTCGGGTCTGGGGTTTGGGGTTTGGGTTTGGGGAAGGTCGGCGAAACTGGTCGGGGTTCGATGGGGTTCAATGGGAGTTCGAAGCAAAGATGTGATTTCGCACAGCAAACAAAGGCAAACTCGCTTCGGGTGCCAGGGGGGGGGTCATGCATCTACACCTTTGCCTCATACAATCACAGATCTTAAGGGCAAGATCACCTGAAATAGACGACCTGGTTGTGAAACCGCTCGAAGTTAGAATTTCGTTCTGATCTTCCTGGCAAGGTGAACCTAGTGCATTTTTCTTTCCGGAGTTGGGTTCGGCTAATTCACGAAAAAACAAGCCAGGAAAAGTTCTACTAAAGTTAAGGTGCCTTTGCAGATACGCTAGGTTTTTTACTCTTCCCACCGAGCCGGGCATAAAGACACGACAGTACATAGTGAACGCAATTTCTAAAACGCCCGAAACATGAACCCTCAACCCTAAGCCCTCAACCCATTGCATAGTTGAATACCAACACCGGGGTGCGACGGCGAATCGACACCCTGTGGGCCTACAGCTTCATGCGGGCCCTGAGGGGTTCGGGATCCGATGAGGCTTCCGGGTAGGGCCGGGGGGGGAGGGGGGGGGGTAAATCAGGCAAAACCCAAAAACCCAAAACCCAAACCCTAAACCCCAAACCGCAGAATGTAGGATTCCATGCTATTGCGGCGGTTTTGTGGGATTTCTCCTGCACCCCTAGCTTAACTGGGGTCCTCTGAGGCTCGGAAACCCGAAGCCAAAGAGACCCCTTCAGCTTTTTGTAGGTTTAGACACTTGATTGAGGAGCATACCTTAAAGTTCTAAACCCTACTCGACTCCTGAGGGCATATCCGACATGCATAACTTCTTAATCCTAAACCCTAAACCCTCAACCCTAAACCCTAAACCCCAAACCCTAAGCCCTTTAACTTCCGGGGTTTAGGCAGCTCTCAGTTTCGGGTGGTTTCGGAGGTTTCAAAGCTCCCACATATTCAACCCCCATACCTCCAACCCCATGACATTCAATCTTCATCCCTTCCCCTCACCCGCGTCGAGGGCTTAGGGTTTAGGGTTTCCCCCCCCCCCCCCCCCCCCCCCCCCCCCCGACCACCGATTTGGGATTATTCTCTCGGCAAGTGGGCTTAGTACTATATGGGAACCGAAGAAGTGGAAGCTGGGTTCAGAGTAGGACATTTGACTAGTCTGGCTGTCGATCCACACGACTTCTGATGCTTGTGCTGGCAGCCGGACTCTGAACAATAATCCCCACCACGCAACGAGACACCCTAAACTCTGAACCCTAAAGCCTGCACCCTAAACCCTAAACCCTAAACCCTAAGGTCCTAAGGCCCTAAACTCGAAACCCCGGACGGATGTTGAAAGGAAGACCTGGACAGAACTTTCGGGGCCAGGGAGCGCAAGGCATAGAGTGCCGAGGTGTCCTGCCGTGTGCTGCTCTTGCAGGCGGCATCTGTCTACAAAGAAATAGTTTTTATGTACCCTAAGCCCCAAACCCCAAACCCCAAACCCTAAACCCTAAACCCTAAAACGGTTTTAACAAGGTTGTCTGCTCAGCAGCTCAGCACCTAAGCCACACTGTTGTTGTTGCTGCTGCCCCATGTCATTCAATCAGTCTTCTCGTTCCGCATGGTCGTTTCGGGCCTGGGGCTTTAGGATAGAGGGACTACAGAGGCACAGCAGCAAGGTCGTCTCCATCTCACTTCTCCGACAGAAGGGAAACTGTTGCGTGGCTTGGCGTGTTCCAATCCTGCTCACCCATCTGCAACATCGGCCTTGTATACTTGCACAAACACAAAACTTAGACATGATGTGAGAAACAGGAAAAGGCAGTTTGGGTATTTCCCAAAATATGGGTACCCCCTTTTTTTTCCGAATCGGATAGACTCCCCTTTGAAGGGACGCCCAGAAAGGGTACCCCTATTTTCGGCAACCCCCACTTGGGGTCTCAGGCTGTTGGCTTTAGGGGTCGACATCTTAGGGTCTCGAAGAAGGGTCTAGCACTACTTGAGCACTAAAGGCTCAGAGCTTGGGGAGTCTGGGACCCTAAGCCCTAAGCCCTAAGCCCTAAGCCCTAAGCCCTAAGCCCCAAACCCTAAACCCTGAACCCTAAACCCTAAACCCTGATGCGGGCTGAGATGGGTTGAGAGACGTGGCCGCAGGACATTTCTTTTTCAGGTGCAGCCTGATCACTCGTTAACCTTTGCGAGGGAAGGTGGGCAGAAACCGAATGCTGCTTGTCTCGAGGTCTTGAGGAAGGGTCGAAGGTTAGCTGAAACCCTATCAGTACCTATAAGCCCTAAGCCCCTTTGAAACCCTGAGCCCTTAACCCTACTGTCAAAAGACCCTAGGGTGGTCTCTGCCCCTGCGATCGCAGCCCCTCTCACTCCACGTCGAAGCAGCTGCAAATGTCCGTCCCGCCTTGCCACTGCCAAAGTCACTTACTAGGTTGGCCCTTTAAACCCCCGGTTTACGGTGCAGGTTTTAGGGTTTGGGTTTTAGGGATTAGGGTCTAAAGCAACCTTAGGAAGAAATGGGGTACCCTAAACCCAAACCCGCAGCCCTGAAGCCCACGACTCTCAACACGAATGTCTTTTGGGGCTGCTGGGATTCACCCACAATCCAGCAGACGCAAGACCCAAACGCCTCAACCTTCCCCCTTGTATTATCAGTCCTTTATTGGGACTATCGTACCCCCGATGATAATCCCTATTCGGGACTGTCAGTACAAGGGGGAACATCCCAACCTCAAACCAGGAACCCGAAACTCCCAGCAGTACCAACTCTCTGCATGGGCTATTCCACCTGAGGTTTAGGGTTTAGGGTTTAGGGAGGGCTTGTTAGGGGGATTATACTGCAAGGCCTAACAGCCCATGCTGGTCTGCACTCTTTTGAATAGACAACCCTAGTCAAGCCAAAGCAACCCCGCTCCCTAAAACCTAAAGCCCAAACAATGTGAATCCTCTACTATTTGCTTAAGAACCCCCCCCCCCCCCCCCCGCGCAAAAAAAAAACGGAATATTCTTCCTTCTAAACGCGACATAGGGGACATTATTGATTTTTTCATTATAATCCCCATAAAGGGCTTCCAAGTTACTCCCTAAACCCTAAACCTTAAACCCTAAACCCTGAACCCTGAACGCTGAACCCTAAAACCTAAACCCTAAACCCTAAACCTAAACCCTAAACCCTAAACCCTAAACCCTAAACCCTAAACCCTAAACCCTAAACCCTAAACCCTAAACCCTAAACCCTAAACCCTAAACCCGAAGCCGAGGTGCAGCAGTGCAGTTGCATGGGGTCCTGCTGGTCCCCTAAAGCCCAGACCTGGCGCGCCAGGGTTTTTCGAAAGGGCTTTAACAGGATTTAGGGTTTAGGGTTTAGGGTTTAGGGTTGGTTTTAAACGGGGTTTAATCGGGCTTCACAGGGTTTCAATGGGGCTTTCACGGGCTTTAACAGGGTGGGATTTAAACGGCTTTGAAGGGTCTAGGGATTAAACGGTTTAGCCGGTTTCGGGGTGTTAGAAACAGGACGGGGTCCTAGAATAGGGCCCCCTGGCAGATGAACGGGGGTTTGGACCACGTAGGGTTTAAACCCTAAACCCTAAACCCTAAAAGGAGCATAGGGGTCAGGGGGTTTAGTTTCGGGCTTACGATTGAGGATTTAGGGCTGCGGGGTTGTGCTGAAGAGGGGGTCCGAGAAGGCAAGCGGATTCGGTGGTGGTTTTGAAGGGGCTTCGGGTTTAGGGTTTCGGGTTCAGGGTTTAGGCCTCTTGATATCCAACTTCATGGAGGGCAGGGGAGGTCTTTTTTGGGCATTTTGGGGTTGGCGGGGGAGGGGTGACAACCCTAAACCCTAAACCCTAAACCCTAAACCCTAAACCCTAAACCCTAAACCCCAAACCCTAAACCCTAAACCAGGCCAAGGCGCCACCCAGCCGTCTTCTGTCTTCTTCGCCGCCCCTGGGCCACCATGAGCCGGGAAGGTGTGGGCGCAGCAGTACACCTGTGTTCCCAAGGGGTTTAGGGTTTAGGGTTTAGGGTTTAGGGTTTAGGGTTTAGGGTTTAGGGTTTGGGTTTAGGACCCAGACCCATGGCAGGATCCAAAACGTAGAGCCGCCAAATTTGTACCCTGTACTACTATTGGGCCATTCTTAGGAACCCTTGACCCTTCTTTGGCGTAGACCCTGGAAAAAAAGGTATATGCTTTGTAGGGCTAGAATTAGGAACCCAGAACCAAAAAAAGTATTCACGTAAAGTACACCAAAAAAACCCAGTTCAGGGGATCTACTTTGTGGATGCTCGCACGGGTCTGGGCTCTTGGTGCAGCTCTAGGGCTTTAGAGGCCCCTAAACCCTAAACCCTAAACCCTAAACCCTAAACCCCAAACCCTAAACCCTAAACCCTAAAACCCCAACCCGCTTCGGATGAATCGGGAGAAGAAAGGTTTGCGGGGGGCCCCTTTGGGTTCGACGGTGTGTGGTTCCGGGTGCTTGGGGTTGTCTTGGTCGAAACCCCAAAACCCGAAACCCTAAGCCCCTATGCCCCTGACCTCTGAACCCTAAGTTCCCAAACAAAGGGGCAGAAGGAGGGGACAACAAGTGCAGGGCTCCCCCACATGGAGGTTCATGGTACTTATTAACCAATGATAGCTGTACTTATAAGCCACTTCTAAGCCCCTCAGGTGCCCTAATATGGTTATAAGTTGGGTATAAGTACAGTTCGTATTGGGTTAATAAATCCCTAAACCCTAAACCCTACACCCTAAACTTTTAGGGTTCTCGTCGCTATAAGTACTGTTATTATTGGGTTAAGAAGTACCATGAGACTCCAAGCATTGATTCCAAGGGGCAGCCAGGTTCTCCCGCATGGAGAGGGAGAAGGGAGACCTGGGAGCCGTGAGGGTTTAGGGTTTAGGGTTTAGGGCCTGTTTAGGGTTTAGGGTTTAGGGTTTAGGGTTTAGGGTTTAGGGTTTAGGGTTTAGGGTTTAGGGGCATCATCAAGGGTGCCGAACCCGAATTGCACGTGCGCCGGCCGACCAGTCAGGTGTGGGGGCTTTAGGTTTAAGTTTCGGAGCTTCAGCACATCCCTAAACCCTAAACCCTAAACCCTAAACCCTAAACCCGAAACCTCGGGGATCTGTTTCGGGGTCATGTATCAGGTCCGCTCTCCTGCTCAATGCCCTTAACATGTGCTTTCTAAGGGGGAGCGAGGCTGCAGTACAGGGTTTAGGGTTTAGGGTTTAGGGTTTAGGGTTTAGGGTTTAGGGTTTAGGGTTTAGGGTTTAGGTTTAGCCAACCCAACCCTGCAACGTTCGCTTTCAAACCGGCGCAGCCTTCGGAATCCCAAAACGCCACTTGGCCCAGGTGAAGGCTTTGCACTAATGCAATTGGCCCCCAAGCCCCCCCCCTGCCATAACAAAGCCAAAGCCATCCCAAAAGGGGGGGGGGGGGGAACTTCCTAAACCCTAAACCCTAAACCCTAAACCCCTGAACCCTGAACCCTAAAGCCATCAAAAAGGGGGAGGAATTTCGAGAACCTTGTGGGAAGACCAGGGGGGGAAGGGTTACCTCGCTTCGAGCCTGTCTGCCTGAAGGGCTGAACAAGTACGTTTGCGAAGCAAAACAGCAGCAGCGACTTGGGTTGCGTTTGACGAATCATGTTAAGATCTAACCCGAAACCCTCAACCCTACTTAGAACTCCACCTGGCCGTAACCCCGGCCTTAACGATATAGGTTGCCTCCTAATTCCAAATCTGGCTCTGTACGCCAATTTCGCAACTTCAAAAGCCCCATGTCCTCTACCTTCGAGTTTGTGGCCCTCTCACAGTGTCTAAGACAACTTGAGGTGTGCCCTATTACACCCTCTGTACAACCCACAGTACAACCCGTGGCCTCTTATATATATATAAATATAAATATAAATAAATAAATAAATATATATATATATATATATATTATATTATATTATATTATATTATATTATATTATATTATATTATATTATATTATATTATATTATATTATATTATATGATATTATATTATATTATATTATATATATAGACATATTTGGGTGATCCGGGCTCGGCCGGCCCAGCCCCCCTCCCGTCTGTGGTGTGGCTGGGGGGGGGGGGGGGGGGGGGGGGGGGGTTTGGTGGATATTTTGATTTAGGGTTCAACGGTTTAGGGGGTGATACCATAAAGAACCGGTATCATATATGTATATATATATATATGTACATATATATATATATATATCTATATATATATATAGATATAGATATAGATATAGATATTATGCATTACATACATACATGTATGTACAGAGATACGTCTTCTGGAACCTTACCATATAGGGTAGCTTTACCTGAAAACTCCCCTCCGGAAACCTCCTTCAAACTGGGGTCAGAGCCCGCTGTCAGGGT